CTGGTGACACCGGTGTTTGATCGATGCCCGCTGATTCGAAAGTTAGCAGTGCACGATGAGCGTGTCCTGTGGAAGGTGGATCGTGAAGTCCTGCGGAGCCTGGTCAACATCAACGAGCTCCATATCTCCAGCAACTTCTTCGCCGAGTAATTTATTTCACCAAGCACCAGTATTTAATGGCGGTAACTCCAAACGTTCAATGACAAGAAGCCTGGCAAAGCTTTAGACAGTGTTCAGTTAAGCCTCGCTGGTATTAAAGGACTTCATTTTGGTTGCTCCATCTCGTTTGTTTCGATTCATAAAAAGTTCCTATAGTCACGTAGGGGTCACGCATACCTGGGGGCTGAATTTGAAATCTTCAGCTAGTACATGCACAGAGAATATCTCTACAAAGTTTCAGCCCCTTAGCTTATGTGGTTTCCGAGATCGCGTTCCCGCTGTACTCCTGCGGCTGATGGCCATCGTTACTGATAACCCGCAAAAAGTCGGTAAGGAAGCTGTCACAAACAAAAAGATGCATACTGCCTATTGGAGGCTCAGGATCGCAAAAAGAAGCTGGTGTAGTGGGTAGCACGTTGATTCGATTTCCTCCTGATCCATAATCACTTTCGAAAAGAGATACCATGCGGTTATTACATGCGTAACGACGGTCTCCAGATGCGCTGAAAGATGATGTAGATGGATATAACATATCTAGCATTCCTTTCTAGAAAAAATTAAAGTGAAAGGTGGACAATGAGTCCCAGAATCTGCGGGTTGGGTTAACCACAACTTTGGCCACAGAATCCTTGCAGCAATACTCACCGATCATACGGAGGCTCGCGGCGATAGCTGATCATAGCAGCAGGTACACTTGAATTCTACAAAATGTCAGTAGCCCACATTTTTCTCACAGGCAACATTACTGCTTCCAGAGGCTCGTCGGATGCGACAATTGCTGCTCTTTTCTCGTTCCCGAGACTGCAAGTGCTGCACATACAGCAGCGATACAGCGAGGAAAAATGCCAGCTGAACATTGTGCGTCCTCATCACGTTCTTCAGATTGCTTCCGCTTCTCTCAGCGACCTCAAATTGCAGGTAAGGAACTAAAAATTCTGCTAATACAATCCTTAAGCCTACAGTGTCTCAGGATTCCAAGAGCAGCCAACCTCACTAAACCTCAGAAAGCTTCACTGAACCTCAGATTCTGATCTCAAAGACAGCCTTTCATCTTTTGTGCTTCAAATAACATTTCACTTGTTCTACAGTTGCAAGCAGTTAACTGGTACTGGCAAAGAGATGCACACCATCAGCTCGCTTGTAAGCAAACCTCATACGAGGGAGCCATCGATAGATTTGCCAGCGAGTGGTTGCTGTTGGCATTTGCTATCACTCGGACTATTCCTCGAGTGCTTCCACCTCTCGCTGTGAGCAAAATATGGAAGAGGTTTTGACTTATGACCCATAAAGGTGGTTCACAGCATAAGGTCAGGGGACGGGATGTAAACACATCATAAGGAGAATTAAAATTCACATGTTGCTGAGGTGTGAGCGACTGAACGTCGGGATTTTAACTCTTTGTTTTTTTGATCCCGAAAATGCAGAAACGACACTTAACAGAAAAATCCGCAAGAACGGCCGGAATGTCCTCGAGCTGAGGTTTATTTTAATAACAACCACATCAAATTAGCAGCAAGTGTTTGCTTGCTGAACAAGACTGTGCAGAAGACACAAGCCCGCGCCAGTCTCCTGCAGCAACGGATTATGAGGGTAATTTTGCTTACAGGGTGTGGTTGTAACGGCGCAAGCATTGGAATTAATTTGTTCAAAGTATCGGAACACTCTGGAATCATTGTGCCTGCTCGGCGGTCTCGTGTCGACCTCGGACTTGCACCGTTGCTTTCAGGCAATTAGTAAGTGTAGTGAGTCAACTTATTAGCTTATGGGGCATTTTAGGACTTAGTTTACTTCGTCATTTTGATCAGCAGCAATTTACCGCACAACTATATCAGG